GTTGACCTCATCAATCCGGAAGATAACACAGTGTTTAAGGTCAATGGGCAACGTGTTAAAACATTTCATGAAGCTGTATCACTCTCAGAGTTGAGCTCTGAGATATTGGTTAAGCCGTAGATGAAAATGTTCTGTGGACTCTTTTGGGTCCAAAAGTGTTTGTAAATATGTCTTCTTTTTATTTTTATTTTTATTTTTATAAGAGCAGTTATGTTTTAATGAGTTTGTTAAAATGCAGGATACTTTTGAAAGAGTTATGGGAAAAGATGATTACTTTGCTGAGTGTTAGAATATTTTGGTCCAAAGGGGATAAAGACAAACTGGAGAAAGTCACTAAAAGTACACTGTCATCAACAGCAGTCTGGAGAAGCAGATAAATTTATCTGGCTTTTTGTTGTTTTCCATGCAGGTACCATCCACTCAATGATGCAAGTTCTTACTCTTCATGCATCCCCTTTGTCCATTGGTTCTTCCTTCAACCGCCAATTTTCAAAAAGGAAGAAACAAAAGGCTTTAATGAGAATGAGACCCTTGAGTTTTTCAAAGCCATCATCACCACCGCCGGCCTATCATTACCGGTTCCATCAATCCATACCACTCTCAAACTCTCTCCCACAATCATCAACCCAAACCCCTCGCTCTCACTCACGCTCACGGTCAAGGTCACGATCGGTGTACCCTATGGCTCGATCGAAGAAGCTCGTCAATAGCAACCCTTCCCCACCACCGGCACGAAGGAGAAACCGCCGGCAAGCCTGCACCATCGCCGCTCGAACCGGAGAACGAGACACGGTTGACCTAGTAGCCGACGGTTCGCCTTCGCCGTCTCCTCCCTCGTCACCACTACCTCCGGTCGATACCCCCTTCGCTGAAAACCCTTCTCAAGCCAACCCTATGCCATCGCCTCCCTCATCAATCGCCAAGGTTGCATCGCCTTCACCATCATTAGCCACTGCCGATTCACCACCACAGACACGGCGACCCCCCAAGAAATATCCATTCCTCAATATCATCTACCCGTGTGCATCTCCACCCACTGTCGCTCCTTCGCCACCATCCCTTTCGCTCGCCGACGCTGTTCCGACCATCATCACAGCAGGTGCCAACCCTAAACTGGGTCCTGAGGTAAATCTMAATTTTTGCCCTAACTCCTTTTTAGATGGCCTTACAACCTCCGATTCCTCTATGGAGGTAGACGATTTCACGGCCATCTCATCACCACCACCCACTAGTTTCAATAAACCCAAAGTCTATCTTTTGACTTGGTATGATCAGCCTTGCGCCAATTTGCCTAAACACACTGTGATCAGCAACTCTGCTCCTCACAATGTTGAGGAGACCATTGCGGCTGAAACCAATCCACCAAATGTTGAGGAAGAATCTGTGGAATGTGATCACTCTGCACAACCTGTAGTTGCCCCTTTTGAATTTGACATGGATGCACATTTGGTTAGGGAGGCCAATACTGAGTTCCCTAATGGGGAAGTTGATTTAGAGGCTGATCTTAGGGGTAGGACTTCGGTACCTACTAAGAAACGAAAAGGTCTAGGAAGGGTATTTGCAAGGAAATCCAAACCCTTGGACAGACGGCCTTCGAGAAAAAGGCCAAACCACACTCCGACATCTTTGGAACCACCACGCAAATCATCCCGAAAGGGATCCTTCACCCAAACCGAACCAGCAGGCCCATCTGGATTCCAATCCACCCCCAGACCCACAACCATCACACGACCCCAGCTGCCTTTTGAGGGGTTTAGTTCYAATAAGGCACGAGATGTTTTTGCAAAATTTAAAAATAAAAAAGTGTTGCCTGACAAAGGATTTGATCATCGAAGCAT